ACACCCCTCACACGTTTCGTGGCTCCATAGGGAGCTCCGCCGAAGGCCCCAGTGCCCGCGCCCGCATGCGTCACGCACACCCATTTCGGCACACCCCTCACACGTTCCGTGGCTCCATAGGGAGCTCAGCCGAAGGCCCCAGTGCTGCCGCCCGCACGCGTCACGCACATCCAATTCGGCACACCCCTCACACGTTTCGTGGCCCCATAGGGAGCTCCGCCGAAGGCCCCAGTGCCCGCGCCCGCATGCGTCACGCACACACATTTCGGCACACCCCTCGCACGCTTCGTGGCCCCATAGGGAGCGCCACCGAAGAAGATATTCACAATTGCGGTACTCACAATTGCATATGGTTGGGTCCTTCGCCATGATAATTTTTTTTCCCAACCATCCTGTGGTGTTGGGTCCTCCACCGAAGGCGCCAGTGGCAGGGTTCGCATGGCGGCCTCGGGCCACTTCGGCACACCCCTCACGACGATCGTAGACCCATAAGGGAGCTCCACCGAAGGCGCCAGTGGCAAGGTTCGCATGGCGGCCTCGGGCCATGTCGGCACACCCCTCACAAGGATCGTGGCCCCATAGGGAGCTCCACCGAAGGCGCCAGTGGCAGGGTTCGCATGGCGGCCTCGGGCCATTTCGGCACACCCCTCACGAGGATCGTGGCCCCATAGGGAGCTCCACCGAAGGCGCCAGTGGCAGGGTTCGCATGGCGGCCTCGGGCCATCTCGGCACACCCCTCACGACGATCGTAGACCCATAAGGGAGCTCCACCGACTGCCCCCAGTGGCAGGGTTCGCATGGCGGCCTCGGGCCATTTCGGCACACCCCTCACGAGGATCGTGGCCCCATATGGAGCTCCACCGACTGCCCCCAGTGGCAGGGTTCGCATGGCGGCCTCGGGCCATTTAGACACACCCCTCACAAGGATCGTGGCCCAATAGGGAGCTCCACCGAAGGCCCCAGTGGCAGGGTTCGCATGGCGGCCTCGCGCCATTTCGGCACACCCCTCACGAGGACCGTGGCCCCACTGGATCTCCACCGAAGGCGCCAGTGGCAGGGTTCGCATGGCGGCCTCGGGCCATGTCGGCACACCCCTCACGAGGATCGTGGCCCCATAGGGAGCTCCACGGACTGCCCCCAGTGGCAGGGTTCGCATGGCGGCCTCGGGCCATTTCGGCGCACCCCTCTCGAGGATCGTGGCTCCATAGGGAGCTCCGCCGAAGGCCCCCAGTGACAGGGCTCGCATGGCGGCCTCGGGCCATTTCGGCACACCCCTCACAAGGATCGTGGCCCCATAGGGAGCTCCACCGAAGGCGCCAGTGGCAGGGTTCGCATGGCGGCCTCGGGCCACTTCGGCACACCCCTCACGACGATCGTGGCCCCATAGGGAGCTCCACCGACTGCCCCCAGTGGCAGGGTTCGCATGGCGGCCTCGGGCCATTTCGGCACACCCCTCACGAGGATCGTGGCCCCATTGGGAGCTCCACCGACTGCCCCCAGTGGCAGGGTTCGCATGGCGGCCCCGGGCCATTTCGGCACACCCCTCACGAGGATCGTGGCCCCATAGTTGTGCTGCTTCAACAACCGCGCCTGGGCGTCCTACTCCGCCTTGTCGACGTGCGACGCCACCTCCTCCCTCATGGCTCTCAAGGCCCTTTCCTGCTTCTGCTCCTCGGTGAGAGGGACGCCGTCCTTGTCGTCGTCGGCGCCCGCGAAGACGGCCACGAACGTGTCCCTGAGCATGTCGGGCTCCGGCGGGAAGCCGTGGCCACATAGGGAGCGCGGGCGGAGATGGTATTCACAATTGCGGTATTCACTGCATATGGTTGGGTCCTTCGCCAGGATATTTTTTCTTGTTACTGTTCGAAGTATTTGTATTTTCCTCTCCTTATAAGTAGTGTTCTTCTTATGTTGGTTAACATTATTATTATTATTATCATAATTATGATTAGTAGTTTAATGTTTCTTGTTACTAACATGTTCCTTCTTATTCTTTCTCATCCACCCAGAGACGTTCGTTCCCCCCCTCCCCTCCCGCCTCCTCCCCCTCTTCATCCCCTGGGTGGGAAATAATAATCTGGCGAGTGGGGAGGGGAGGAGGAGGAGGAGGAGGAGGAGGAGGAGGAGGAAGAGGAGGAGGAGGAGGAGGAGGAAGAAGAAGAATAGCAGCAGGAGATCTCGGGAGATTCCCGTGTTGAGGCCGTCAGAGCTCCCAAGATGTCTCCAGAGGTCCTCGTCCCATGAGGCCTCCAGAGGCATCTGGAGAGCAAGAACGCCAAACAGCGTATATCTCCGAGGATGCGCAAGAGGAGTACGGCCAGGAGGAGGAGGAAAGAAGTCTCGGGATGTTCCTGGATTCCGGACTCTAGAGACTTCTTGAGCAGCAGCAGCCGAGCAGTTTCTTTGGGTGGAGGGCAAAGGGTGAAATTTGGAATGCAGTTTCGATTGGTTCTCGAGGCTTGTATCTGCAAAAGGCGAATCAAAAGACGGATTGATTTTCGATGTGCGAAAGCCCATATGGATTTCACCCTAAGCCCTCCACCCTAAGAAAATTCTCAGAGCAGGATGAGGAGGGCCCTCTGCCCTCTCGTGGCTCCATTCTCCCTTCCCTCCCTCGCTCCCTCTGGAGTTCGCCGGTGGCCCTGGAGGTGCCTGGCGCACACCGCGGCGTACTCCGCAGTCTCGTGTCCCCCCAGGCGGCCAAGGCCGCCGGGGAGACGGGTGGGGGGCAGGGCTGCGCCCGCCGTGGCACCGAAGGCCGCAGAGTCCAGCGTCCCGCGGGCGGGAGGGAGGGAGTCGCCCCCCCGCGGTGGGCTCGCGCCGCGTAGACGCGGCGGAGAGCCCGGCGTGGATCGTTGAGGAACACCGCGCGGTGCGAGACGCCAAAGGCCGACGTCATCGCGACTTGAGCCTTGGCGCATCTGCCGAGCGGCGAGAACTGTGCATACCCGCTGCCCCTTGCCCCGCCCATCCTGGGCCTAGGAGCGGTGCGTGTGCCTCGCCATGGGGGAGACGGGTTCTGAAGGAAACGGGTCTTCAGGTTTTTCTCCGTTTCGGGGCTCTCGGGACCGTCCACGGGCACCCGGAGCGTCAGATAGCTATTCAGGATGAAGATCTGGTCCGGAGGGAGGGCCCGTAGGGTCCGGGACCCGTTTCCCTCAGGACTCGTTTCCCCCGTGCCAAGAACTGGTCCAGAGGGAAGGCCCCATAGGGCCCGGGACCCGTTTCCCTCAGGACTCGTTTCCCCCGTGCCGAGTGCTTTCACCGCTCCTGGGCCCAGGATGGGCCCGGCAAGGGGCAGTCCTCGCCGCACCGATCTGGCAGTCTCTGGGGAACTCCGGGTGTCCCCGCGGCGGTCTGCGGAGCCCCCCCCCCGAGGCTGGAGGCCAAGGCCTCTGGGCCAGGAGTGGCCAGGAACGGCCAGAAGGCCTCGATCGCCGATCCTCGAGGGGATCGAGGTTCGTGGGACGGGGCTAGGACGAGGATAGATCCGTTTCAGGGCGTTCCGGAACGCTCGCAGAGCATTCTGGAACGCTTTGAGAAGGCCGCGGCGCCGAGACACCCTCCAGAGCCGCCGGATCTCAGAGGTTCCGGATCGATCCTCACCCGATTTATCCGGTTTGGAAGGGGCCAGAAACGGCCAGATAACACAGACTTCGTGTCGTCTCGAAAATATCGAGTCGGACATTTTCATAGTTCTCGGGGCCCACATCGGGCCTCGGGACCGTCAGAAAACGGCTCGGGATGAGAAACAGGTCCTGGAGAAGTGGTCGAGAGGTCAGGTCCGTGTCTCGAAAAAATCGGAACGCCGGATGTGTGGGGAGGCCTCGATCGCCGGTCCTCGAGGGTTTCGAGGTTCGCCGATGCTCGCGATCCTCGGTCGGGGTTGGCCGAGCGGTGCTCGTCCTCGACCGTCGACCCACTGACCGCGGGGCAGTGGCACGCCTGCTGGGGGCATCCGCCCGTCGCGTTTTCCCGCGCGAGCCGCGTCGGCATCGGCAGCGCCACTGGCGGAGCCAGAGGGTCAGCTGCCGGCCGACGAAGCGTCCGCCAGTTGGACCCCCTTCCAACGCGGAAGTCCAACAGCAAAGTCTGGCCTCGACCCTCGGAGGCGGCCCCCAAGGGGCGTGGCCTCCTCCTCGGAAGGCCAGGGGGGGCTGCTCGGAAGGGGCTATGGCCTCTTCGAAGCAGGCGGGAGGGCCTCTGAGAAGTCGACCCGCCTCCCTGGAAGGCCCCTCCTCGGTGGTTCAAAGATGGGGTCCTGGTCCTGAAGGATGGGGGCCTGAGGATATGACGGGTTCCAATGGTGGATTCACGTTCTCTGAGGCACCTCGTCCTGAAGACCCCATCCCTCGGGCCCAGTCTTTGAACCACCAACCCTCCCCTCCCCACACACCTGGCGTTTCGATTTTTCCGAGACACGGGCCCCCGACCGCTCGACCGTTTCCCCAGGACCGGCTTCTCATCCCGAGTCGGTTTCTGACGGTCCCCAGGCCTGGTGCGGGTCCCGAAAAGTATGACAAACCTCAGGAGGGAAAGAAACACACAGACACAATTAATCTTCGATTTCCTGGAAAATGTGGGAAAATATGGGAAGTGGTGGGGAAGACAAAAACCCAGAAAACATATCGGAAAACATGGGGAATTTCTTTTTCTTTGTGTGCATTTGTTTGTGTGCTCCAGGGCCCCTTCAAAACCTCCGTCTCGATACTCTTCGAGACGCCAGGACGCGTGGGTCGTGCGCCGCCCGCCAGGGCGTCCCGGCGCCCTGCCGAAGCGGGGCCCGGGTGCGACAGGGGGAAGATATGTGTAAGGAAAAGAAATGGCGGAGGAAGAGGGGGAGGGAGGAGGAGGAGGAGGAGGAGGAGGAGGAGGAGGAGGGGGAGGCGGAGGAGGTGGAGGAGGAGGAGGAGGAGGAGGAGGAGGAGGGGAGGAGAGGAGAAACAGGATCGCAGGGCTCGCGGGCGCGGCCCGCGCGCCGCCGCCCATCTCGCGGCCCGAGCGCCCCGCGCGGCCCGGAGGGGCCCGCGCCGCGCGGCCTGGCGGGGGCGGCGCGGCCCGCCGCCGTCCTCGCGGGGGAGAGGGCCGCGCGGGGGGGGGGGGGGGGAAGGGGGGGGGGAGGGGGGGGAAGGTCGGGGGAGGGGGGGGAGGGGGGGGGGGGAGGGGGGGGGGGGGGGGGCAGGGGGGGGGGGAAGGTCGGGGGAGGGGGGGGGGGGAGGGGGGGGGGGGGGGGAGGGGGGGGGGGAATGCTTCACGGCGGCGCCCAG